CATGTTCAGGAGACATATCACAGATATTGACCAGCGGTGTTGGCCCATTAAGCATCCAGTCTTACAGCCAAGAACCACATCCACACATTAACAAGCCAGATTTATTACATTCGTTTGAATGTGGGACATCTGCTATGTGCCAATGAGATTATTAAGCCTTTGCTGCTGAACAGTACATCTGCTTCTCACTTGTGGCTTGATGAGATCCTTTTGTGCAAAACTAATACGTGCTTTAATTACTTATGTTTTTTTAACTACTATCCTATACCCTCCTTTGTGCACACTGCTTAAAGGTGCACTTTTCTGGATCTGAATCCTAAAGGACTCAGCCCAGGCCCCACATGTATACTGTACATCATTCCTTGATTTTGGTAAATGCAAAAATTGTGCGCTGTCCATGTCTCAAATAAATTAATAAAAAAATCTGGGCCCTCATAGAAGAGTAAGTGTGCCTGATTGAGCTTCATGTGTTCACATGTTGTGTTCTACTTGCGTCTCTCCTTGACCAGAAGCTGTCCCCTGGCTGTTGTACCATATGCGCTAGGAGAGCTGTCGATCATCTGGGCCAGGATTGATCAGGCTTTGGCCATGAATCTATCTGTATTTTAAGCATAAAAACACCTGTACTTGGCACTAAACTTTATCCATACAAAGCAATAACATAATGGAGACCCACAGGTAGCAAACCCCCCACCAAAAAGTTAGATAGTGCATCTTTGTCCATGCCTTTGTCCACAGTGCTTTGCTGTGTCCGATACCATTTCACTCTAGGTAAACATCTGCTCTGTCATGAGAGTTTTAGCAACTGTCCAGGGAATGTAATGATGTTTAAACAGAACATACTGCATCTGAAGATGGAGTGTGAATAACTGTCAATAATATGGTGTGAAAAGACTACTCCAATGTAAAATATCATTAATTTCCTTTTAAACAATTTACCAATTTTAATAGAAAGCATTGCAAATATTCTTTCTTATTTCTTTGGAGGAAGAAAAACCTACTTGAGGTGAACAACACACACTTATACACAATATGCCAAATTACACATGCAAATGAGTTACTCCGGAGATCTTTGAAAGAAAGACTTTGCCCAAACAATGGAATGATTTTTTTTGCCCTAAAAGGAGACAAAGTTTAGTTAAAATTACTTTTTTTTTTGGAAGAACTTATTACTGATAATTAGACACAGCTATCATTTTCTATTTTGTTGATTTTGGATTTATATTTGCCCATTATCTCCCATTAGAACATTTACTGCAAAATATTGCCATAAAAAATAATAATTGTTTGTTGTTTAAGCTTGAATATCTCGAGGAGCTGTCCAACTAAGCATCATGATGATAAATCATGTGAGATGAAATCCTTCTACATTGGCTCACGTCTGGACAAGCCAGTCCCTGGAGTGACCCTAAAAGCAGGTTACCAAGGACATTCTCACACCCAACTTTACTGGATGCATGCTTTATGCTTTTGGCTTATCTATAGTTTATTTATCCACATTTAAACTATGCCCTTGATTTACACGCTTAAAAACACAACACACAAGAAACTATTTGCTTATCAAAAGTGGTGAACTTCCTATCTTCCTAAATAGAGCTGGTATCGCTTTTTCTGAGTGGCACATAAGGAAGTTGTAACAATGTTGAGGAAGTATGTTGGCAAGACTGTTGAAAATTGATTTAATTGAGCCCTGAGAAAGATATCAAACTCAAAAATGACCTGCAGCATCGACCTCCTGAGTTTATACAAGATTTCAGTTCAATGTGAGGATGGCCTGCTTTAAAATAATTAATTACTCACTCACACTGTGTGCTTTGAATTCTATTTTTGCAATTGGATCTATCGCAGACACCAAGTTTGTGATCAGTATCTGAACAGTGATCACTGCAGTAAATATAAGCCTATATCTTTTCCATATTCATCAGTGCTTTTCTTTCTAAAATGTTTATAATTGTTGCACATTATAAAAGTCTACCACAGATGTGCTGTATATATGTCGCAAAGATTAGTGTAAGACCTAACGTAAGTGAACAGACGCTTTTGGATTGGCTGAGGACTGTTATGCCAAACATGAGTCACAGCGCTGGCTTACACCAGACTCATTGGTTTTGGCTGTGCCAGGGCTCAGATTTGATCTTCAGTGGGACCTGCAGTGTTGCGCAGCCCTAAGCAGAGCACATCTGGAGTGTGGTCTGGACTTGTGTATCTCACTGGAGGGCGGCCAGTCTCTGTCTCTGTTGGAGGGTGACACCACAGGTCATTAAAAGAATTATGCTTGTACTGCACCAGGGACAGTGATCCCCTGCCAAGACATTCTGATTTTCCTGTCTTTAAGCAAAGATAGCTTGCATTGACCGTCTGGTGACTTTTCAACTGGGTCGTGTTGGCTTCTAATCAATACTGTACATACATAAAACAAATAGGCCTAATAGCTTTGCCATTGTACGTTTGCATTGCGTTGTGAAGTTGGACACTCAGTTGATAGTTGAAAGATAACAGCAGCTCCTCACAAGATGCAAACACTTATTCAGTGAACAAAGGTTCATTGTACCATCAGCAGTGCATGTGTGGACTGTTAAACTCTAATTTTCTAAGCAACATGAAAACAGCTCCATGTGTAACACCAAGACGATGCAGCTCAACCCCAGTGCCACCATGATCTATCTCACCCCAACTCATGAGGAATACAGTAAATTCTGTACAGTATATGTACTTTGATGTATTGCTGTCATTATTATCTGTACAGAGGCTTTGTCATTGTCTCTGAATTAGAGATGTGCATGTTTTTTTTCTGTTTGCTTAAACTTGAATGTATTTGTAATGAAGTTTTGTCAGTGTACATAATAGATAATTCTGTCTCATCTCTTCAGTGTGTCTGTCCAGGGTTTGCTCTGTGGCCTCCTCCCTTCCTCAGGATGACCCAGGTGACCCAAACGTATCCCATCTCTAAAGTAGCACCCCACCACCCACCAACGGAAATACTTCCTAAAGGACAGAATAGAAGATTGCGCAGTTTATCAAAAGCAAAGCTTTACAGTGCTATGTCATTTCACTTCTACCCCATCCTTTTCTCACTCCAAGAAGGGAGGAGTTGGAACCAAGTGTTCTTTTTCTGTAAACTAGGTGAAGACACTTGAAGATGGAAGTGGTAATTCTTGTACCCAAGTCAAACTCAGTCTCAGACTACAAAAAATAAATATACAGTATAGTGTAATTAGCAAGAATATCTACAAAACATTTGTCAAAAACAAGAAGGTTATGATTAATGAGAAAGTTATGTATGTATGACTTCTTCCTCAGCGAACAAATGATTTCTGTCCCAATACTGGCCAGCTTAACCCATGGAAGCCTCTCCAGACATGAGCTCAAATAGACGCACCACTCACAAATAACTGGAGAAAAACACACTCTTGTCCAGAGTACACTTTGGCCTCCCAAAACAGACATGTCAGCCAGGCCATTGCACTCACATCAAACACAGGAAGAATAATAGTGCGCCGCATTAGATCACAGCTACTCATTTACTGTAATCACTCAAAGCCACGGCTGCTCCATGGTTTCTTCATGATTACCTATAAATGTCTTGTACACTTACTTAATGTTTTTGATGTGGTATATCCAATGTGGTCATTGGGGAAACAGGTGTTCTACTCATGTTGAAATTATTATTACATTATGAATGCAATTATGTATGCAAATATTTGGAGCAAAAGTTATGATACAGAGTTATAATAAAAGCAAGGCAACTTGTGGCCCATTCATTTGGCTTTGTTTTACCGTAAATGTAAAAATTGGAAAGGTAAATTCTTTTGACTGGATATTTTGATATGCAGTTGTTGATAACAAACATTGTTTAATATAACTTTCAGCTGAATTGAACCACATGCTTGCGTGTGGCTGACCTGAGGTAATAACACAGTTAACCTGTACATGACACAAACAGCAGGCGTCACTATTATGAAGAATATTGTGAGTCTTGGAAAGCAGAGCCCATTAGCATGCATGCAACAGCCCAGTGTGTCAGGTTTGTGCCGGAGAGACTAATTACATTGGCACCACCTCTCCTTTTTAAACAGCTCTACTGGTCAGTCTCCTGTTTACAAATCCAAAAAATGTGTCTTAAGGAAAAATTAAAAAGATAGACAATGACAAGTTTGTCAGCAGCAAGGTGTTTGTAAAGCAGAGCAGCAGATGGAGCCAAGTAGTCTGGACTCACAGGTGCCTGGAGCGGATGTGTTCTGTTAGTGATGCACTAGCCTCAGTGCAACTCCCACATCAACACTTGTTCTATCTATCAGCTCATCCATAAGCAGCTGTACTGAAGTGATCTTCTGAGATCACTCACTGAAATATACTTTGGAAAACACATGACACTTTTGTTACACGTGCCTCCTCAGGGGTTGCTTTTTCGAAATTCATTTGACCAGAGACTGGATCGGTGCAGTCTGCAGTCTGCACCTGATGTTAGTTATAAGCCTGGGACAAGTGCTCACAGGGCTTGTCATCCCAGTCTAGTCCGCTGATGTTTCTTTGGCTTGTTGCACAGCGCTATCGTTAAGCATGCACTCCTTTCTCTAAGAACTGAAGAGACGTGCTTCTGTCAACTGGCGGCCAGACCGCATTGCTATTTTCATTCTATTCACGCACTTAGTCACTTTGTAATGATATTTTTTGGAAACTTAAAAGAATGTATGTGAGATGTAATGTCTCTGCCCAGAGTGCTGAAAATCAACCAGCTGCAAATGAGTCCAATGGACAGCAGGTAGTAATCAGGATATGCTGTGTTCTTCCATGGCCTGTCTGTCTGATACGTGTGTGTTGTATCCATGCAAATGTTTGGCAGACACTTCCATCCTGCTGGACGAGGGGCTGGGGGTGTCTCTGCCGTGCGCCTCACTCTCTCCCTCTATGCTGGCAACAGGCTGCATTCTGTTGGCAGGAGTGACCAGAATAAAAACAGCAACACCAGACATGAGCAGGAAAAAAAGCAAAGTGGTCTACACAACCAGAGCCTTTGCCCTCTTTTAATTATCTACATCTTCTCCCTTTTTCACTTTTTTCTCCTTAGACTCCCGGACGGTGGTAATTAAGAAGAAGAGAATAAAAGCAGCTGATCCGGGGAGGGGTGGTGCATTTTGCAGCGAGATGGCTCACAGAGAGGTTCTGTGGCTGTTGTGTGGACTCTTCCTTCTATCAGTGATTCAGCTTTCTCTTCAAGGAGGTAAGTTAATATACAGGTAAAGAGCCGCTCCGGTCGGCTGCCTAGGGTCACAGCAGGTGCATGTCTGGGGAATTCTACATTTATTCAGCTCAATGTGAAAAAGGTATTGGTTGCAGTGTCAGGTTTCTACTGTCATTTTTACTTATTCACTTCACTTTTAAGAACTCTCTCAGTTCATTAATTTGGATGATTAAAATGCAAATTCACAGTTAACTGTTACATTCAATTAATGTAGTCATCGTACTTTACAGATTAATTGAATTATAATTTTGAAAATGTATGCAATGCAGAAATATAAGATTTTGCATTGCATAATAAATGTTTTTGCAACCTGACCTATAACCAAATTAATGTATGAAAAATTGGATACATTTACATATTAACCAGCACTCAATGCAGAAAGATAATTGTAAAAAAAATTGTTAAAGCCCAGGGAAGACATTACTGAGAGTTCATTTTGTGTCCATACTCATTGTTTTGATTGTATTGCACATTGGACAGTTTTCTGAAAGCTGCTCGTATTGTTTCTGTAGTTACACAGGTTGTATAGAAGCCAAGGGTCTGTTCAACAACAAGTCAAAGGTGCACACTCCAGCTGCTCACTTTTGCCTGAACCTGAACTCAAGCTTTAATCTACCCCTGTTGAACGCCCGGGTGGATGAGGGTGTAGGGAAGGCAAGTGTCTGAGGCATAGCTTTGATCTGAGTCTTGTTCGAATTACGCAATTTGCTTATTGCCATTGAACAATTTTAGTTTGATTCAAAGAGACACGCTATGTGTGAAACAGAAACACAGGCCAGAATGCCTTTTATCTTTCTCATGTCCACTTGCATCATAATTCTTGATGTCTGAATTTTGGCTTTGGATTCTCACAACTTGCACTTCTTAACTTGAAGACATGCTGTGCATCTGGAGCTAGATCTGATCCACTGAAGTCCGTTTTTGTTATATTTATTTGTCTAAAAGCTGCAGCTGTTTATGTTTATTCAATCTTAGTAGCCAAGATTCCTCTCTGGAGCATTTACTTTGGTAAGATCACTATCAGAAATATTTTGCTCAAAAGATAAGACTTTATATGGTTTGTTTAACGGATGGTCCTATTTTGTTGTGTCTCGCTACATTCTTGCCAGAATTCAATTTCAAGGTGCATTCAGATTAAATTATGACAGCAATAGAAGCCAGTTAGATACTATGAGTGTTGCAGCATAACTATTGAAATCATCCATAAAACCAGCTCCATCTGTAAGCAATGAGAAATAAATTCAAATCAAGACACAATTATCCTGATGAACATGCACACACCTTCCAAATAGATGAGGATATTAGCGTGAATTATGAATGAAAGCTTGTCTGTACACAGTATCCCTTAATGGCAAGTGCAAATGACTTATGGTGTAGGAGGAAACATCTGGGTCGGAGTTTGTTAATAAATTTGTGCTCTGTTGTCTAATCCTCCGAAGATTGTGTTTGGATTGTATCATCTAGGTTTCTATCTCTCTCGTACAATGACAATTCCACAAGCCCCATCTGTCACACCACTTAACTAAGTTGTATGTTATTCTTATCAAATCTGTGTTGACACAACTTGGCCCCTGGAATCAGTTATTTATGGCACTGTCAAAAATGATTGAAACCCTGACCTAGGCTTCCACCATTTAACAAGTATAAACAGGCTATGACACTTTGCCTTTCATATGATTTATTATGTACATAAGGATACGCTCTGTAATGATATTATAGTGGCACACTGTACTTTTGACTTTTCACCCTTTTGAATTCTTTTTATAAATGCTTTTTGGCATTGATGGCGAGAATTCTACTGTACTTATGTCTGCATAATCCTTCAGTCTCCCAGTACTCACACAAATTGACTGGTTGCTCCAGCAGAAAAAAACAAAACTCATCACTGTGACTTGGTTCAAGCATGACTGTGAAGTCTAACTGTGGTATTTAATATAATATAAATGGATTAGTAGTAGTATTACTTCTAGTGCTTGTACTACAGTGAAGTTCTACAATTTTAATATACATCTGCTTTTTTCCATGATACTGTTGCTTTTTTTGCATTCATTCAGTTACAGGTGTTTTTATTGCTAAAAATATCTTGAAAAACATGCCTTTTCACTGTGAACCGAGTCACCATTCCACAGATCTGATTTATACCTTGTCCTGGATATAAGCAAGTGACAGACCCTAAACCACAAAGTTACTAAATGCAGCTATAACAATGTCAAAGGTAAACTTTTTCATGTGTATGTTGTTTTAGAAACTGCACTAGACTGTAAATTGTAAATAATCCACTTGCGTAAAAGTGGTTTCTTTCCATTCCTGTGCTGATGTTGGTTGTGAGTCAGGTGACCTCATCCAGGACCCGTTTGTGAAGCAGATTACAAGCCCTCTTAGTGGCTGGGGTTTGCTTGTGAAAGACCTCAGTTCTTACTTTGGCCCACTCTCTGGGAAAGTGTTACGAGATCACTCTGTCCACAGCCACACTTTTACATCAGAGTACAACCAACTGGAGAGAAACCAGGCTATCACAGGCTATTGATGTTGCTGTTTTGTTGCTAAAATGCTTCTTGGAATTGTGAAGAAATATTGTCACACCTGCTTTATAATTCTTACCATTCCAGATAGTCTGCATTCAGAAAATATTTACAAGAAGAAAGTTATTAATGAGCCTAGTCGGATCCTTATGGAGACTTTAGCATCCCGTCGTCAGATGTTTGGTCTGTGATGTTCCTGTGCCAAGTGTTGAACAAAGAAGCACATGAACTGGGATGATTCACTGCAGTCTCCTCACCAGGCTGTGAGATGTTTCTGTTTTCTCATCCTACTGTTGCCCAAGCGCTGATTGAATGATCAAATACTTGACGTCAATTTCATGATCAAATCATTTTTATAGGTAAACATACTGTCTATAGGCAAAGGGCGTTTTCTGGTCCACGCAGCTGCCTCAACTCATCTTCAGCCAAAGCAGATTGGAAGGATTTTAACATAAATCTTACATTTTATTTGCTTCCTCTTCAGCTATGTAGACTTGGATGAAAATTGGTGAATCAGTCATTTGAATATGTTGAGTGCTACTTTATGACAGAGAACGCATAAACAATGGAACATCTCTTGTTGTTTGTGTTATCTGATAAGAGTTCTTTTATGGTCATGCTTTTAACCATCCCCTTTTCTAAACCCAAGTGTGTCTCCATGGACACACTTGTGGGAAATTGCTTTTTGGGAGGTCTGCTACTTTATATCAGCAAGATCACCTTTATTATGTGTTAACAAGAAGAAGAGGTGAAGTATGTATTGTTGGCATCTTCGTTAATTAAAAAGTAGCTTTCTTTGGCGTCGTGGGCGTTCTTAAACCGTGGAAAGCTGACATTGCGGTGGGTGAGTGATGGGAGGCCAGCTGTCACATGTCTGATAAGGAGAGATGTCTGACTGCCAGAAACCACAGAGCATGCTTCACTGCTTTGGCTTGCAGGACCACGACTTTCCAATCCTCCTTTTGGGACAGTGGTTTTGGACATGTGAATGCAAAAAAAAAAAAAACCTCTTCTCATTACAGTGACAAAAACGTATGGTGTTGTTTACATCACAGTGATATGTTCTATTCTAATCCTATCTCCTCGGGTTGAAACACTGAGGTTAATTTGAATCTGCATGCAGTAAATTCCTTCAAAATCTCTACCTGATTGGTCCATAAACCTTGACAAGACTTGATCTTTTCCAGTTGATTGCAAAGAGTGGAAAAGGTCCGTCTTGTTGGCAATTTTTTCTTCAGTCCTGGTGAACCTTGCTGAGCTCAATCTTGATGATAATAACACGAGTTGTTAAAATATCTTGGAGCTTTAGCTGTGGTCAGTACAGTTCATTCTTTGTGCTCTTTGACAGTGAACCCATTGCACTTAGTTAGACTTGAACAGTAGCTTGATGGGACCTTGATACAGGCTTTTTCCCTCGCTCACACAGCCAAGACAGGAAATCCTCCTTTTCACTGTAAATGTGATGGAGCAGTCGTTGGAACAATCACTTCACTTTGACCATGCACGTCCACTGCCTGAATACCCCTGGTACAATATCAATATAATCAACAAAATAATCTTTTATTATTTAGGTCACGGTCACATTTGACTCACCTCACAATTATTTGTTTTTGTTTTATCAAAACTGCTGGAGCATATGCCAGTGACAGATGCCAGTAGAGCCACAAGAGTAATGCAGTTCTCTTCTCTGCCTGCAGGGGTGTAACTGAACATTTTTCCCCCTAAAAATCCCTTTGATGATCCAGCACAACTTGTTCTCCTTCAATTAAATGCACATTACAGACTTTCAAGGGCCTCTTTCCTACAATGGGCCCTGGATAGATGAGTAATAAGTATCCCCCACTCTGATTCCCGTTCGGCCTGCACGTTTTTCCCTTTTAAGTATAATCCTTTTTAGTTATATAAATTGCTAACTATTGCCCAATATTGTAGCTATTATGTAGAAATTAGGTTTATTACTGCTGTTAGATGCCATGTAATATCCCTAATTTAAGTTATGAAGCTCACTAAATTCAATAATAGGCACATTAAGACATAACAATAATTCTCCTTGCAAACACAGCAGGATCCATTAAATATCATTATTGTATTGCTGCAGAACCTTTCCATTCTGTTGCGATGCTGCTTGTGATACAAAACAGATTTTCACCTCCACAATATAAATTTCTAGGTTTTGGCCTCAACTCAGGAGTCCCATTGGATTGGAGTGGTTAGTGGTCCCTGTTGGACTGCAGTCATTCCCTTATTTTGGGTGTTGTTCCTTGCGCACTTGAGACCCCAGTGTCTGGCTATCTCAGGAGTTTTTCTGGAAAGCAGCCAAAAATCATGTTCAAAAAATTGTCAGGGGATTTAGATGGGGGTCTGAACTGCAGCTTTTCAAACGAGGGTGTCCAAGTACATTACGTCATCACCATGAACACAGTTGGAATTTTATTATAATCAACTTTTTATTCAGTTTTTTTGGGCATTTCCCAACCAGTTGTGTTTCATTTTTACAGTGTGACCCCATGCTATATTGTCCTAAGGCAGACAATATACCCATGTTTAAAGTCTGGGTCAATGATGAATAGTACTGGAACATTTTTGACCATAAAGAAGTTACTGGTGGGAAAACTCTGGCCAGTTTTAGACACCAATGTGGATGAAGTATGTGATGTGTGATTTGTATTGTGTGTTGTAGGTGTGTACATACCACCTGGTGCTGGAGTTGGACCTGGAGCAGCGGGCTTCTATCCAGGTAAATAAAGTCATCCAAAATGTGTCTAATCTATTTTAGCTGCTATAAACCAGAACACTCCAACATGGAAGAATAGTTTGGTATTAGCAGATGGACCAATTATACCGTCATAGATCAATAGAGCAAATAATCAAGCTAATGAAAGTATGTTCACTTTTGCAAACAATTTGTACAAAAAGATGAATTGGACTCATAAGTTTTAATTATTTAATAGTGATGCTGGAATTAAACACATTTACATTTTTGGACTGTCTTTTGGTTTTTCCTTTTCTGTGTATCAACTGCAAATAATTTATTGATGTGCATTCATGTAGTGATTTAATAAAGAATAATACCACAATCTCAGTCTAAGATTAATTTCAATATAAACATAGATTTGGTTCTTTGATGTGGTTTGGCCTTGTTGAACACAATGGTTACAGTTTTTCCAGCTGTGCTTGTATGTGCACAATAGTTTTCAACAGCCAATCCAACATTTATTTAAAAAGATATTGAACTCCATGTTTCATCAAAATGCTTCATGTCAGTGGCTAAATAAAACCATATTCATTACATCACTATCTGTAACTCAGTTCTCCGATTGTGTTTTACAAGGGTCTGCTGCAGGAGTCCCACCGGGCTACAAACCGGCCAAACCTGCAGGTGAGTGTAATGAGACACAGGATTTATGGTTTCTCTCTATTCATAAAATACATTTTACAATTTACATGCTCATCTGGCTCTGCATCAAGTAATGCACATACTCTATCTGAATTATGTTTTTTAAAAGATGTCCATAAATTCCAATCAAATTTAAAAAAAGCTCATGTCATATTGAGTTCCAGGTTATGGAGGTGGAGGTGGAGGACAAGGCCTGGTTCCTGGAGGAGTAGGGCCTGGAGGACTACTGCCTGGAGGAATAGTGCCTGGAGGAGTAGTGCCTGGAGGAGTAGTGCCTGGAGGAGTAGTGCCTGGAGGAGTAGTGCCTGGAGGAGTAGTGCCTGGAGGGGTGGTGCCCGGTGGACAGGGATATGGAGGTATGCAAAATTAATATGCAATGTTATTTTATGTTAATCTGATTCTTTCCAGTTAATTTTAATATTGGCCATTAAATATTTTCATTTGCTTTAGGGCAAGGTGGAAAACCCCCAAAACCAGGTATGTTTTTTTTTTTTTTTAAGTATTAGCTGTTATAATATAATCTGTATATTAAGTTATCAGCTAATAGGCTGCATTCACGTGGCGTCACAATGTTCTAGACTGGCTAAAATTGAGCTGGAGGGCTGGGAGTATGGTAGAATTAACTGTCAAATTGCAGATTTGTTGACGTCGTTTATGGTTTATACCTCTGTAATACCAGTGTCTATCCACATGAAACAAAAAACTGGCACAAATTTCAACATCTTCTCTGTAGCATAAATAAACAAAAACGGAAACCTAATCGCAAGCTGATTGGTATTTAAACCACTAATAATAAGTCCCAGATTATGGAGCCAGTCCCTGAGAAAGAATTATAAGGTTCAGCATAGACCCTTGACCTCCATGTGAAAGTATCATTAAATTCTGAACGCAACCTACTGATGGATGCCATAAGATCCTATTTACATATTTTTCGAGTAGCGTAATGTAGATCAGTAGGCTATGTGTATTGCGTGGCGCCCACACATAAACCACGCCAACGTTCTGCCCCAATTACTCAAAGTACAGTTGTTGCCTGTTCCTTATTATCCTGTTCTTTTTTATGCTGAATTTGGTTTACACAGGCTTGGCTGCTGTTTGGGGCATCCTGGTTGGGTGGGGCTCTGTTGGAGTGAGCTGTGGTTGGCAGAGTGCACATGGCCATCATCACCTGGCAAACAATGATGCCAAAGCACTGATGATGTTATTGTAACGCAAGTTCCTTTACAATATCTGGAAACCTCCCTCCTTGATATTGCTTTACAAATATTTTCTTTGCTGTAATTCAGTCACTGCATTCAAATCATAGCAACCTTGAGCAGCCATTTAATTTCCGAAAGCACCGCTGATACAATCACAGTCCACCTCTATGTGTTTGCGGAGATAAGGAAACAAGCAATAGTCTTGTAATCCTGATAAGACTCGGGGCAGGTTAAAGGAGGTTCGCCAAACAGGGCCCCACCTCTGGCCTTAAGAGCAGTTGCCCTAGAGCCATTTCATAAAAATGACTTAATATCCAGTGCTTGGTGGAAGTTGATTTTGGCTGGCTTAGTACTGCATTTCAGGGGGATTGTTGTCCCACAGTTTGTGTGCATTTGACCTCTCACACAAGTCTTCTTGGACAAAGAAATTATTTGATTAGGCAAATAGCATAAAGAAAATCCTGCAGAATTCTTGTGTCTTGGAGAGAATGAATTGTCAGGGTCATCTACAGTTTAAGAGAATGCTTCATCTCCAAGGAGCAGTAATCCCCTTCATTGCTCTAATTGTTTTCTGAATTTTATTAAATTGATTTTCATCATCGCACACTCTCTTCACTGGATATTGTCCAGAGTCCAACATTTTTAACTCAAACCACAGGAATTAGAGTTCAGCAGCAGGTTGAGATCACACATTATCTTGTATGGTACATCACGCACTGATGTAACATTACTTTTTCATGTTAAAACAACATATATGCTTCAAAATGCCTACATAAAGTTGCTATACATTATTTTTTGGATACACACCTTGCCTGGTCAGTAATGGAGAACAGCAGTGGTTGTACGAGTAGCGTGACTGCAATGGATTGTGGCGTAAATCATGCAAGACCTTGTAAATGTTATCCTAATTGTGAAGCCTGTCAGCATCTCACTTTGACAATAGCCTGAAAGCTGAAGAGAGGAACTTTCTCTTTTCTTACAGCTGTTGGGCACTGCATCTCTGTGTTCCCTCAAGCTAAGGTGGATGTATTCTCTTTGATTGCCCTAACTTGGCTCTGGCAGGCGGGCTTCTTGTCAGTGTGAGGTAGTGTGAAGTCAGTTAATGAAGAACATGGAGGTTACTGTTCAGGATTTTGTGGTAATATCATTTTACTATTACCTCGGCCTGTTTTAGATTGAGCAACCCTGCTTCTGGGTGGGACTATGACTATCTTTTGATTGACAGTTGTCCCATAAATTTGAGAAGCAAAACATGGGGGTTTAATTTTCCGTTAAACCAGTTGCACGCCACAAAGCATCATCAGTCAGAAAGAGTCATATAAAAGTTGTCAACATGTTATTGTATTCAAAGTCTCTAGAGTTTCTGTGTATTTGAATACCTTTTTGTTGCTACCTCATTGTAGTGGAATTTAGGCCCACCCGCATTAAGTGCACATTGAGAGTTTACTTAATTTTTTATGTATTTATTGCTAATTGCATTATAGTCTTATTCTTAGTCTTCAGTTTACACATTGCTTTACAAAGTTGTTGTGGAGTTTTGACCTGGTTACCATTGTCTCATCTTATTTAAGGGATGATCTGCAGATGAACTCATGGCAGGAGGCGGTGGTCTGTGATTACAGTAAATACCTCTAAAAGGCAGCTTTGGCATTTGTTTGTGTTCTTTGTGTTCTGTTCCAGCCCATTGGGAACTAGTGGAGCCGTTATTAGTTGGGCTGGAAAAAAGCTTGAGGAAAACAGTAACAAGTGTAATCTCTCTGTGGTTTAGTGTCAAAGAAATAAGAAGTGATTAGGAGAGTTTGGATGGACTTGTGTGGAGGACTCACTGATGGTGTATGTCATACTCCACCCGTCACTGCTGGCTGATAGATTGAGCGCCATCTGAACGTGTTTAGTCAAAAGAAGTGCATCTTAGAAGAGGTCTCATCTCCATATGGTCTTGATTATCGGAGCTCAGACCTGTCCTCTCTGTCTGTAAATGTGCTGCCAGTGAACTCTAGGCTGAGGTGCTTTTGATCGCATGTGTGTAATTACAGTCTACACACATCTGTACACTAACTGCATCACTGCTACACACATGGTTATTAATGCTTCCTTGCATATGCAACATCTACTTGTTCAGATCTCAAACAACTCCCCGACTTAAGTTGTTAATTGAGTTAAAAGACAGATGTAGCCATGGTTAATATTATATATCTAGTTCAAAATGCTCTGTTGCACCGTGTGATATCATGTAGTGGTAGTTTTCAAGATAACAGACCAGTACATCAGTACAGATTGGAAGTTCCAGGACTCAAATCAACCAAATGATTCTAGCGAAGGAGTATTGAGTAGAGAATGCAGTGGAGCACTTTCTGTATCACCACATGACATCACATGGTGGAGTGTTTGAGAGAAGAATTCAGCCTAAATATGCAGGGTTTGTGTGTGAAACATGTGTGAATGAAACAAAACACACCTCCAGGTATGTTTTTGAGGAGGATACAACATTCTCACATAGATCAGAAAATAGTGTAATTTGGGCTCTTTAAGTGTCTAACATATCTTCAGGCTGTATGTTTTCATCAGTGTATCTTTTGTGCTGAGGTTGATGATTGTCTTGCTTTCATTCATTGTAGATGGTTAAATGTTTCCTTACATATTTTATCTGTTAAATCATTCATTTTCATACTTCCAAATGCTTTTTAATCCTAGTGCTTTCTTTTATCTCACCTCATGGATGTGTTTCTCACTGATTTTGTGACAGTTTTCACATGTTAATGACTAAAGAAGATTAATGGTGCTTAAATGACTACGACTTTAGCCCTGGAGGGCCTGGACATGGTCCAGAAACATGCAGTGTAGAGCTTACAAGACATTTCAGCCAATTTACCTCATATGTTTGACATCCCACAGAATCTTATATTTTCGTTGCCATCAAATGCCTCAAATGGCTTTGCTGTGATCACAGTCTCTGACGTCTAGGAGAGCTTTGAGGGAAGACCAAGTGATTATAAGTCAGTGTTTTAGTGTGCAAAGAGATGCCGCTTTGTTAAACCTGGAGTTGTCTAAAAGGCTTGACTGAAATGAATGTTTTGTGCATATGTGGACCATCTGCATGAGGAAACAGAGTAAGCCAACTTCACATACCAGAACCAAAGATTGCATTTGTTGACATTTTTCATTCTTATCAGTGATGGTGATCAATCTTCTTCAATATTGTCCTTGCAGGTCTCCATTGCTTTCTTTAGATAAGGATGCTTACTAGAGTCAGGTTTAAGTTGCTGTATATTTATTGGACCTTCCGTGTCCACATGAGCGAAGAGTACATCACTGAATCTCAGTGCCAAGGCGCAATAAGATGTGAATTATAACAATATTTCTCACTCATTTGAGCTTTAGTTTTGGCAAAGCAACTGTGAGTTTTGGCAAAGCAACTGAAGAGGTTTTCATCTTTCACAAACCAGGCATATGAAAAACTTTATCTTTGCTTAGTTGGAAACATATAGAAAGGCGTGCTTTGCTTTGTAAATGCTACCCTATTAACAGTGAAATCGATTTAGGTGGATATGTTGTAAGATATGTTCAACAAGGGATTTCTGAGGGAGGTTTCCATCGCCAGTCTGCTGTTTAAATTGAAAGCCATCTAATTCTTTTTGTTGTTTGTGATCCAGTTGATGTATAAGTTGTAAAAGAAAACATAGCATTTACTTGCAATAGATATTAGACTCCAGTTTTCTCAATAGGATTTCATACTGGCAATAGACTTATAAACTTAGACATTTATAGATGTAAGTGGCCAAGACATGGTTTTGGCACAGAGGCAGTTCCCATTGCAGCCCATACACGCGTAATGTGGAGTTTTAAAGGCTGTTAATTTGACACAGTTTGTGTGAATTGCTTGTGACTCAGAAGTGATGTGTGTGTTCTTGTGCCCAACTGTTGAGGCTGGTTAGGCCCTTTGGCACTGACATTAACAGCCTGTGAAAGGCATTAGTGTCCACGGAATATTGGTATGTTTTATATTAAATTGCATGAGACATAGATGATTAGGGGATTTTGTTAAGATTTTTTACTTATTTTGTTTATTAGATTTAATAAGGTATCTCAAAAAATAGATGATTGATGTAAAAGTCTGCAACTTGGAGAATGTACAATTTGTTTTGATTATTCCTTGATTTATGACCAAAGAGGCTACTCCAGTCACAAAAGCAGGTGGAGAATAAAATTATGGCACTCATTCCCAGACTTCTTGTTTGCTGTTGCCCAAGTTAAGTATTGTGTAAAGATGAGCTCATTCCACCAAAAACAAAATACAAGATACTTTAAAATGTTAGCAAATAGATTTTAACATGTATTTAGTCAGATGTGTAACCCTAATGGGCTCTAAACCAAGGAGTAATAGTGGCTGGGTATCTTTATTTTGTCTTCTAACCAGCAATCAGCAACTACTCAAGAAAAATCATTTAACATTCTGATGTATATGTCAGTGCCAAAGAATGTGCTTGAATCCTCAACTTGTAAAATAGACCTCAAAAATGATATAATGATTATGAAGACAATGAGTTACTTAGACCACAGATGAGAAACATCAGGTCCCTGTCCGTCACATCAACATTGTGATTTTCTATTAAACTACTTGAAGATTAGCTTATCAGGGAGATACTGTCTATTTCACACAAAACAGCATTTACAAGAGCCTGCAAAATTTTTCTACAATGCAGTCAAAAAACTTCCTCTTACTGTGCTCAATAAATTGTGTTTTTATCACAGACACCCCATTAGTTAAATCTAGGAATGACATTAAAACATTTCTTAAAATATTCATGCACATTCCAGAGGTTGAAGCCTGCTCTCTGCACGTCTGCTCCAATGGATTGCTGCCATGGAATTCTTTGCTCTTATATGTTAAACCATTGCCAAGGCCAGCTGGTTCTCTAAGTAAAAAAGGGTTTATAGAAATTAGGAAGAAACATATTTATATTTCTCAGTGTTATAATTACAATTTAGTATTTGATTGTGCAACCTCTGTCAGGGCTGACATAAAAACGATGAGCTGGAAAGATGATTGAATGTGTAATTAATGACTCTTTTGCTCCTCTGGTGGAGAAAAGGGTGGATTACCTTACACAAACCCCCAGAGAACAAGTTAGACATTTCCATGCTTAGATTGAAGGCAGATATTTATTTTCACGCTGTCCAGTCAATGAACTGGATCTGTATGCAGAACAAGAACTGTAGAACGATGTTTTCGTCAGACTTGACTCAATATCAATGACACTTCATCACCAGAGGAGAAGAGAGTCCACTGTGCAAGTGTTCTCCATCATACCTTTTACAATTCTTCAAAACAAGCTTACATCTACTGGGCTAGAAGATATGATTTAATTATTATATATTCTTACACACTTTTCATGACAATGATGTGAAAATGAAATGGGTATTTAGTATATAATAACTAATCTACACTGTATTGTAATGTTTGTGAAATCCCTTTTCCCGTTTCACAGATTTTTCAGTTCTGGTCAGATTGGTTGATGCAGATATAAAGCAGTGTCCACCAGCAATTTTACCATAAACATATTCTATCAAAAAACTTTTGTGTAGTTGACAGAACTGAATTTCCCCTTTACTATTTATTGTAATATAAAAATCATGCAGGGATTTGAATGTGGATTTGACATATTCTTTGCACCAGATGTGTTTCCTGGTTCCCGATCAATCAACAAGCAGATTTCACTATAGATTCTATTTTTTTTACCCTGCAGAGGTGACTTGTCATTTCCAACTATGTGTTACATATAAGCGAGTAATTCTCCTTAAAGGACAGTGCATGCTTCTGTCTTGTTTCAGAAACTATGATACACTGAGGTACTGGAACCATTCCTCACAGTTTTCTTAGCCCATTCTTCTCCCCCTTGTGTAGTATTGGATTTCAGCCTTATCCATCTTGTATTTAGACTTTGGACGTTTTGCTAGGTTGTTTTGACCGGGATCCAAAAGCAGTTTGTGTTTCAATTGCTCTCTTAGGCTTCTTATTAAGCTTTGGTCACTGAGAAAATGATCCCTCACATGAGCTTGTCTGCAATCAACTGTACATTGGGAACAGCACCAAGCAAAGTGATGATTTGAAGCCTTGGGTCACAATGACAGCTTTTCGTGTGTGAGGTTCACAGCAACAAACTGCGCTGTTGACTTCCAATATTGTGTGAGCTAAGCCAGATCTATTTGTGTAAAATGACTTGTCGTAATAAGCGTACAATAGCATGCTAGTTTCCTTGACGTGAAGTGGTAAATATGAATAAACACGTTAGATTTGTACCAAAACGCTCCCTCTTGGTTTTGTTTAAACATACAATCAGAAGAGACAAGCCAGCCAATGTCCACTCTTTGTTACAATTGAAAATACACAACCTATAGAGTTGTAGACTTGGCTCATTTTCTTTTTTGGTGATGTCATACACAAAGAAGTACAGAAAAATAGTTTCTTCCTCCAACTGTAGTACCTGCCCAAGTCCTGTACAGATGGTCACTTACGGAAATGTCTGCATCTCAAACCGTTGTGGGTGGTGCTTTTTGACCCTGATAACCTGAATTCCAGGGTACATATAAAGACAGGTGGAGTGACCCTCTCTTTTCCCTCTGTTTCTCCAAAAGTGACAGGTGTATTTACTCTTTCGGGCTGTTATCTTCAAGCAGTCACCGTGACACAATGCTGTTATCAGAGGACCAGGTGTTTGTGAAATTTGATATGCTTTTTGAGACAGCCTGTTTTGATCATTTCTCATAGGTTTGAATTTTATGTTTGTTTATGTTTATGAATCTTTGTTAATTCTATTTTAAACAAAACACTTTATTTAATTTCAAAGAAAACATTAAATTTGCTCTTAAAATATTTCTATCCTTTAATTTTTTTTCACTAATGAGCACAAATATTATACATACAGAATCTGATAGGATGAGTGGACAATTATGACAAAAGACTAATTCCTGGTCAGAGTCAGGGGAGAAAATGAGCTCTCCAACTGTGTAATTTATGAACAAATTGTTCACTTTTTAGCAAAGCATCTTGGCTAACATTAGTGTGGTGCTTATCAAACCGCCTGCTCATGTGATTTGTGAACTCTCTCCCAGTGCATTCCTGCATTCTTAAATTCTTTATTTAACCAGAAGTCCCACTGAGATTTGGAATCTCATTTTAATCCTGGCCCTAAAATGGCCCCTATTCTACATGTTTTAGTTGTAGGAGAAACTGGAGCACCTGGAGGAAATCTACACAAGCACTGCCAGAACATGCACACGCCACTCAGAAAGGGCCTCAGGGACCCAGGACGCTTGGGAACCGTACCCAGGACATAGCCTGCCATGTGACAGAAGTGCTTACCACTGTACCACCGTACCTCTCATGTTGTTCACGCTGCACATTCAGTACACATTTACTTGGGTCTTGAGCTCAGAATAATAAATGTCGGTTCATTTTTGTTCTCATTGTTTACTTGGTTTGGACTGGTATTTTCTGTACTTTATTTTTCTAAACACACAGTATGCTAAGGCATGTCTGCTGATCCTGGATAATGACTCAATTGTATTTAGTGAAAGGTATTCAGCGTGAACTAAATGACTAACATCTTACATATTGCTTTGCTTTGACTGGTCTTGGCCCGTTTACCATTTGCGCAACATTGTTTTTCTTTCTCTTCACTCATTTTGTCATTTTCCTCTCATCAAGGATATGGCAACCTTGGAGTGGGTGGATTTGGCGGAGGGGGTCTTGGAGCTGGCGGTCTTGGAGGAGGTGTGTGGTAATATATTGGCATTTCTCAGTTTACATGTAGACGCCACATGCACTTTTAATAAACTTTGAACTTGTACTCTTAAATTGTTATATTTTTGTTTGCAGGCGGTTATGGAGCATACGGAGGGGGCGCTGGCGGGATCTACCCAGGAGCTGGCCAGAAAGCTGCAAAAAGAGGTCATTTCTTAGAATAAAACAAAAAGTTGATTTCTGGATTTAATAAAGTGTTCCTGATGTTTTGCCTTCAAGATTGAAAGACAAAACTTTCTTTCATACCCACAGGTGCAGGGGGAGGATTTTTACCTCAAACAGGTATGCTGCCCTTTAACCCTGACTAGTCAACATATTTATTGAATATGACAAAACTTATGGCACTAAAAGAATGATCTTGTTCAGACATAAGTGTGTTTTTTGCACTGCCAAGTTGCCTTAGAAGTGAAACTGACATCTCATTTTCTGAATGAGGGTATGGCTGGGGAAATGAGGCATTTGATGAGGCAAGGCAAATGCCATGTATTCTGGTTAGCTGTCCTGATTACATCATGTATTAACCTTATTACTTTTGATCATGGCTTGATGACAGACTAACAGAGCAGATTAGAGCTTCCACGGGAGTTCCAAAGTCTTCTTTGATTAGGTCATGTTGGGCCCATGAAGCAAGCAAGAGCAGAGCGCCCTCTTTTGGTCACTAGTGTTATGGAGTAGAGATCCTGGATTACAATTCCTATTACAAATGTAATTTCTAACATTTCGTGATTTCTTTTAGGAGCTGGAACTGGACTTGGTCCTGGGGCAACTGGAGGTAGACATTTTCTTATTTAAAATTACATACTGTGACAGATTGTCAAGCCAATAGTCTGCTGGTGCCATTTTGTATTTATCCTAATGAATTCAAAATACATTTGTCTTGAATTTCAGCACATATAAATCCTCAGACAGGCCTTCCTGGCGTGACGACTGGTGGAACAGGAAAAAAAGCAGCTAAAGTGCCAGGTCTAATGGAGTCAAAACTAAATAACTTTTTAGACAAAATGCAGCTCTCTGTTCGACATTCACAACAAATTCATGTTATGTTCCATGAGTATATTTTGGGAAAATAAAATTAAACAAATCCATTCAGCAGACTGCATTTTGTCTGACTCAACAGTGGGACCAGGAAAATATCTCATTTATTCAAACATGCAATATAGTTAATTACTGTGTCTGACTGTGGCAGGTGTTGGCATACCTGGACTCTACCAAGGGGGGTTAGTCCCTGGACAAGGTGTGTGGTTACTTGTTATTTTTTCTACATATATTCTTAAACATATTTATTATTTTTATCATATTTGGTCTTCACCTGCAGGCTTTGGGGGACGTGGAGTTCTTCCTGGAGTACCCACTGGGACTGACCTGAATCAAAAATCGAGTGAGAATCAAGTCATATTCATGATCTAAAAACATTTATTCTTTTCAAATGTTTACCTTGTTTTTCTATCACACAGTTGCAGGAGGAGCAGGAGGAGGACAAACCGGAGTTGGACCAGGTACATACCACAGTTTCCTTTTACACATGGTGATCTTATACCAAAAATTGTCTCTCATTGAATAGGTGGTCGTGGATATGGTCAGACTGGATTGTTCCATGGATATCCTCTTAAATCACCTAAAGTGCCAGGTGGATAATTTTTAAAATGTGCAAAGTTTTACCAGTTTCTCAGTGAGAATTATACATATGCTGTAGAACTCTGCATACAATATGGCATGCTTCTGTACTTGCTTTCACATTTCATTTTGTGAATAATTTCTAGTAATAACTTGGTTCTTTAGTAGTTGGCTAAGCATTTCCTGACAATATTTAGAACGTAATCATTATTGTTTTAGGGGCATATGGAGCAAAACCCGGAGGAGGCAAACAGCCCTTTGGTACCTTTTTTTCCAAAGTCCATCACAAATAAATCTAAAATTAATTTCAAACAGTTTTATTTATTTTTTTCAGCTTATGGGGGGTTTGGCAATACTGGAGCTGGACTTCCTGGAGGAAAGAGTAGTTCTGGAACAATACCTGGATACCCTGTTGGGACAGGTAAAATACCTGCAGTTGCAAACTCTCTTGTCACAAAAGAAGAATAAAATTGAATATATATTTATACAGGGGTAGTACAGGGCGGTGTCGGTGGCACAGGTGGACTTATACCAGGAGGTCAGTATTGTCCATCTTTTGGGTAAAACAGCATTGTTAACATAAATGTGCTATATCACAAAACAATTCTTAATCAGCAAAATGCTATATTCATTATCTTAACTTTGAACAACAAATCAGTTCCGATTTTCTGAACTACTTTTTTTGTTTTGTGGGACATGTCAGAATGGTTAGCCCACTCAGGTTTCCAAGTCCTTTGGTAGCTCTTAATATAGCTGTGTTAGTAAACTGCTGTTGTCTAATTATCAACAGATTCTAAATAAATGTTGTTGTTTTTCCAGGAGGAGGACAGCTTGGAACAGGCGGGCTGGGAGGAGGAGGTTATGTTGGGACAGGGGCAGGCCCTGGTGGAGGTGTGGGTGGTGGGCAATACTCAGCAGCTTACAAAGCTGCTAAATATGGTAAATTCTGTGTGTGTGTGTGTGTGTGTGTGTTTGTATAGGCCCCTTTTATTAACCTTTTGTATGTTTCTAAACAATCACTTTGATAGGAGCAGGGGGTCAAGTGGGAACAGGTGGATTGGGAGGAGGAGGTTTTGGTGGGATTCCTGGCAGTGGCCCTAGTGGTGCAGTGGGTGGTGGGCAATACTCTGCTGCTTCCAAGGCTGCCAAATATGGTAACATTATAAACTTTGTTCCCAGCCAGAGATTTTTGTGTTTTTGAGGATGACATAAAATCATCTCCTGCAGGAGTAGGAGGACACGTGGGAACAGGACCAGGAGGACAAGGAGGTTATGGTGGTGGACTTCCTGGTGGTGGACTCCCTGGTGGTGGACTCCCTGGTGGTGGACTCCCCGGTGGTGGACAATACTCTGCTGCTGCCAAAGCTGCTAAATATGGTAGACTGGTACTGTCTGCCTGTAAAGGCACTTATTCATTCTTTTAAATTTACAATATGTATCTTCACAAGGTGCAGGAGGACAGGTGGGAACAGGGCCAGGAGGACAAGGAGGTTATGGTGGAGGACTTCCTGGTGGTGGACTCCCTGGTGGTGGACTCCCTGGTGGAGGACTCCCTGGTGGAGGACTCCCTGGAAGAGGACTCCCTGGTGGCGGACAATACTCTGCTGCTGCTAAAGCTGCTAAATATGGTAGAATAGTACTGTCTGTGTTTCATGCACTTATTGATATTTTAAACTTACATAAATATGTATCTTCACAAGGTGCAGGAGGACAGGTGGGAACAGGACCAGGAGGTTATGGTGGCGGACTCCCTGGTGGTGGCCTTCCTGGTGGCGGACTTCCTGGTGGCGGACTCCCTGGTGGCGCACTCCCTGGTGGTGGACTCCCTGGTAGCGGACTTCCTGGTGGTGGACAATACTCTGCTGCTGCCAAAGCTGCTAAATATGGTAAAATAGTACTGTGTGGGTTAACATGCACTTGTTGATTCTTACATAAATACGTATCTTCACAAGGTATAGGAGGACAGGTGGGAACAGGACCAGGAGGAGGTTATGGTGGTGTACTCCCTGGTGGCGGACTCCCTGGTGGCGGACTCCCTGGTGGCGGACTCCCTGGTGGTGGACTCCCTGGTGGAGGGCTGGGCGGTGGACAAATCTCTGCTTCCAAAGCTGCTAAATATGGTAGACCTTTTTTCTGTATGTGCGGCTTCGTTGAGATTAAAACTAAATAATTTCTGCCATAGGAACAGGAGGACAGTTGGGACCAGGAGCAGGGGTTGGAGGTTTTGCTGGGGCAGGAAGAGTGCCTGGCGTGGGCCCTGGTGGAGGACAATACTCTGCTGCTGCCAAAGCTGCAAAATATGGTAAGTGGACTTTTTTTTCTTCCAAAAATGTATGCAAACAATAACATTCCCATTTGTAGGTGTTGGTCCAGGAGGAACTGGATTTTTTCCAGGTGTACAAAATCCAGCAAGAAGTCCCTATGTACCTGGTTATGGATGTAAGGCTGTCATAAGTGTTGTTTCATTAGATCTGTAATTCAACAGTGTTTACATATACTTTTTTTACTGTAGCCTTGGCATCTGGGGTAAAACCGCCAAAGTATGGTAAGAAAATAATTCTAAATAATGTTTTAGTAGCTGTAATATAAGAAATAAATAATAATAGTAATAATTTATTAAATTATCATTATTTAGGAACAGGTGTAACTGGAGGTGGAGTCCCTGGAGGAGCTGGACAAGTTTTTCCTGGCACTGGATATGGAAGTAAAGTTCAAAGGCTGCTTCAACACAATATTGAGTTATAATATGACTATTCAGCCCTTCTAAGTGTGTTTCTTTACAAGATGTTGGTGCCGGGACAGGAGGAGGAGGTCCCTTTGGAGGTGGGCAGTATTCTGCTGCAGCAAAAGCTCAAAAATATGGTAGGTGATGATTGGTGCTTGGTCTTCAAATGCTTGTCATATGTCATTATTTACTAACCCATATCTCCTTATACTTACACAAGCCACAGGGCTAGCAACGGGAGGGGGAGGAGTACCTAGTGGTGTAGGACAACAACATCTTGCATCTGCAAAGGCTGCTAAACATGGTATAACATCATTAGCTCAATTATAAAAATTTTTCCGTGCTGCAACTGTAAGTTGCTTTGTGCCACAGGCTTGACAGGGGGCCCTGGAGGAGTTGTACCTGGTGTTGGTCCAGGAGGTACAATTAACCCCTATCCAAACATAATGACTATCTTCTACCAGTATCTTGAACATTTTCAGAACAATTGGAACTTTTAATGTGACATTATTTTGTTTGCAGTGTATCCAGATGGTGCAAAACCACCCAAACCTGGTAAGTGTTTAATATACAGTCATAAAACCACTTTGACAAAAAGCTTATATATCTAGCTCTGGGGCAAATATGAAATACTTTATACACTGTTTGTACCAGGTCTCACAGGATCAGGGCTCACGGTTCCAGGAGCTACTCCCAGTTCAGGACTTGGTGGACTGCCACATGGCTCTGTAGTTCCAGGTGGTACAAGTCGCCCCGGTGGAGCGGAAGGTAATGCTTAAAATGAGAAACATTATACCAACAATAAATGTAATGTAATGTCATTTGCTGTTGGTTTGCAGTAACTGATGTGGCTACCACTGGAACACCTAGACCAGGTTCAGGTATAAAAATATGTTTTCTAGTGTGATTGCATGTTCATAAAAATAATCTGCAATTGCAAAAAAGTGATAAAGGTCTAAATAAGTATGGTAGTAGTAAAGTGAGTTTGTGATTATTCACATATTGATGAGAGACCACCCATGATACTGTGGTGAATTAATCAATACTATATGTAACTCAAACCTTTCTAGCTCCTTTAGCCTAAAAGCTGACCTGTGCTTAGAGCCTACACTGTGCCATTGCTTTTCATTTCTGCTTCAGCTTATGCCTTGTTACTGGATGTTTTGGCAGAATCTATTCCTGATGCCGTTAATGGCACAGTTCCAGGTGTCCCACAGCCCAGCAGTAAGAGTTACTTGTGCATGAATTTAATATGATCCTAAACTAAATGTTTTTAAGCAACCTGTATGTTTGTTAGTTTTTCAAAAGGACACACTAAGCACTACTATTCACCATCAAAATGACGATAATAATGTCAGTGTATATGTGACTGTGTTAGTTATATTATTTACTCAAGCTACAAAGTGTGCTTGCATTTTGTCCTTGCTGTCTGATTATGTTCACATTTCGATTTCTACTAACATCACATATTTTTTTACGCATGTAACTAGTGATGTTACATTTTCCTTATCAAAGCCAATAAAATGTATTTATTTTTTTTATTTTCAACCTCGTATTTGGATTAAAAAAGCAGGAGGTAGGTCTCAACTAATCAGCATACTTATCTAACTTTAAGTGCTAATCTAATCAGAAATTATTATTTTTAACAGTTGCCGGTGGGGTTGTTCAGCCAAGTAGTAAGTACTTTACATTGAATATATCACATTGTTATGATACAGGTAATTATTGTATTTTTATGATTTCACAGCTGGAACAAGTGTTGGTAGGTGTGATTTTAAAATGCTAACTGATTCACAGATATGTGCCACATACTAGTGCTTAAATTAAACTGAATCTGTATGTCACAGGTGGCGCTGGTGTCCTGACACCCCCTCGTGGTGATGGAAATTAACTACTAAGCTTTCTTTTTCTTTTTTTAATACTAGTTTAACATTCACCTTTTTGTGCTTTCTTAGGTGATACACCAGGCCAGGGTCAGCCAGGTATGTGCAAACCATTTTGTATTGTTTGTATTCATACTGTTTTGTATGCCTACAGTCAAAGCAGTATGTCCAGCTACAATTACATGAGTTTGGTGGCTCTTGAATTATTATTTATTTTACATTATTTACTTATTTCTTTTAGTTGCTCCCGTACAACAACCTGGAGGTAGGCCAATTTATTTTTGTTTCTCGTGTCTTGCCACAAGATGGCGACAAACAGCTTTTGTTATTAACCAGTGTCATGTTGTTCAGTAGGTGTAGGTACTGGGGTCAAAGCACCAAAACCAGGTGTTCCAGGTAAACCTAAAATTATACAATTTTGTGTAGGACATGTAGAAACAAAACCATTATACTCTTTGGTACATAGAGAATATTTGATATCAGTATGTTTTCAAATAGCTACTACCTTCACAGGTCTCCCTCAAGGAGGAGGGGTATATCCTTATGCTGGGCCATATTCAGGCAAGCAACACATTTAGTTCTTATGACTTTTTTAAAAATAGAATTGTTCTCATTGCATTCTAATTGCAATGCTCTGTGTTTTTCAGGACCTTATGGCAGTGGGTCTCAAGTGCCTGGAGCCAAGCCTTTAAAACCTCCAGGTGAGTGAGTATGTCTTATTCAGTTTACTTTGTGATGAATTAATGTTATTTATTTCACTTTTTAGTGGCTGGTGGAACTGGAGGTGGAATTGGAATACCATTGACAGCTGGTGGTTATCAAGGTCAGTCATATGCATATATCTATGCCAACACAATTTTAACACTGTTTAACTGTAGGAAAGTAAATAGTCATAAAGGTTGTTAAAGCATAGAGTTTTAAAAGAATATGCTCACATTCTTGAATCTCAAAACCACACAGTACTCAAAAAATATGTCAAAGAAAAAAACACAGCTATGTTAGCTCCCAATTCTTATTTTATCTGTGTACACCAAGTACGTGACATTTCCAACATTAGCTCTTCATCTGACATGAAGTAGCTGAGAAGCACCTGCATTCAAAAAGCATATGATGCATTAGTCAAGCTTTTGAAACTACATTTGGACATCTTGAAAGGTTATTGTTTGAAAACAGTTCAATTGTTTCCAACAGAAAGTAAAGACTGGAGTGAAGCTGTTTAAATATTGCAAATTTATAGCTGACAAAAGTTCCATGAAGCTATGCACAGAGTATACTTCCTGGATAATTATCACATCAACTGGGGGAACAGACAGAGAAGGTGTAAAAATTAAGGAAGAAATGCTCTTATGTGTATGAAAATTATTTTAACAAGGGAAAACATCTAAATATGAATCTAAATAGGACACAATATGTTAGTATGCAAAAAATTAAAGCAAAAAGGCAATAGGAATAATACAAACTGCCTTCTGCCTCATGCACAGAGTGACAGTTAGTTAATGGTCCAATTTGGATTAATGTATATACACGATATATTTACATTTGTAGGAGGACAGTTGGGAGCAGGAGCTGGAGCTAAACCACCCAAACCAGGTACCATTTACGCCTGACTGATGGTAGCATGTATAACATATTTCATTAATTGTACTACTACAGTCCCTGACAAAAGTCTTGTCGCTTATCCATTTTGTAGAAACAAAAGCTTATAACCTGACTTTTAATCGATTGGTTTTAGAAATGTCTCTTATGAAAGCTAAAACCCTCCCAAATTATGCTCAATATACTAAAATAAATTTGCTTAACTGAAGAAAGATTGATCATTTAATGAACACAGAAAGGTCAGATTTTGGCAAGACAAAAGTCTTGTCGCCTTGTCATATGATGCACCCAATCCTAGATTACAGCCTCACCTGTGATCAGTTACTGATCAATCAATTAGTGGGTGTGTATAAAAAGAACCCCAGCACACCAGACCTTCACATCAACTGCAACTTGACCTCTGACAACATGCCTAAAATCCACCCTGAGACCAAAGCGTTAATTATCAAGAGGCTGAAGACCAGATCCACTGCTGAGGTGGTTGACACCTTCAATGTGTCTCAGCATCAAGTACAAAGAATAAGAAAAAGATCTGAAATGACTGGAGATGTTTTTGACAAGCCCAAGTCCGGCAGACCCCGCAAGACAACTGCTCGGGAGGATCGTTTGTTGATTCGAAAATCCAAGGCCAGCTCCTTTTCCACTGCAGCAGAGCTCCACCAGGCCTGGTCACCTCAAGTCCCTGTGTCAACCAGAACAGAACAGTTTGTAGAATTCTGTCTCGAAATGGCCTCCATGGTCGAATCAGTGCACAGAAACCAGCACTAAACAAAAGGCAATTAAAAAAACGTGTGGCATTTGCCAAGGCCCACAGCCTGCTAAAAGGATGGACACTGGAAAAGTGGCAGAAGGTGGATTTCTCAGATGAATCCTCAGTTGAATTACATCACAGCCGCCGCAAATATTGCAGGAGACCTACTGGAGCCCACATGGATCCAAGATTCACCCAGAAAACAGTTAAACTTGGTGGTGGAAAAATCATGGCCTGGGGTTACATCCAGTATGGGGGTGTGTGAGACATTTGCAGGGTGGAAGGCAAATATCAATAGCCTAAAATATCAAGAAGTATTAGCTACCTCTTACATTCCCAACCATAAAAGGGGTCAAATTTTGCAGCAGGATGGTGCTCCATCACATACTTCTATCTCTACATCAAAGTTTCTCAAGGTGAAGAAGATCAAGGTGCTCCAGGACTGGCCAGCCCAGTCACCAGACATGAACATCATTGAGCATGTCTGGGGTAGAATGAAAGAGGAAGCATGGAAGGCAAAACCAAAGAATCTTGATGAACTCTGGGAGGCATGTAAGACTGCTTTCTTTGCTATTCCTGATGACTTCAACAAATTGTATGAATCATTGTCGAACCGTATGGATGCAGTCCTTCAAGCTCTTGGAAGTCATACAAGATATTAAATATGGCTCTCACAGCACCACTACTTAATTCACTGACGTTATGCAACATATTTTTGTATTTGAAGTAAATTATTTGTTCAATTTTCTGCAGGCAACAAAACTTTTGTCTTGCCAAAATCTGACCTTTCTGTGTTCATTAAATGATCAATCTTTCTTCAGTGAAGCAAATTTATTTTAGTATATTGAGCATAATTTGGGAGGGTTTTAGCTTTCATATGAGACATTTCTAAAACCAATTGATTAATTTGAAGTCAGGTTATAAGCAAAATGGATAAGCGACAAGACTTTTGTCAGGGACTGTATACTGCATGAAAACTGATTTGGAGTTTGTTTTTTTTGTTTTTTTACCCATTAACTAAGTAATACCAATAACTCTCAACATCTGTATTTAGGTTATGGAAATCTTGGAGGAGGTGGGACATATCCTGGAGGTACCCTACATAATTTTAAGTATTTCTGGTTCTGTGTTGTTGTACCATACCTTGCATGTAACCTTTTTTTTTTATATCTGTATTTTGCAGCCGTAGCTCCTGGTGTCCAAGGCTATGGAGCAGGTTATCCACAGTATTTTCCAGGTACCTATATCAACATGTGCTTCTTGTTACATTAATTACATTTTTTGTCCAGTGTGTAGACCAACAAATGTGTTATGTGTTAGTGAGAATGTTGATTTCAAACCCACATATACAGTTCACATAATAACGCAGACTCTGATGCATGGTTTGACAAGAGGATGGATTTCTGACTGTAGCTTGGTCTTATTTGTTGTTTGTAGTTATGGTGAGCATCTCTAGAAAATAGATACTGTAAATTGACTGGAAGAGAGTGAACATTATTTGACCAGTTTTAAACAAGGGCCTTTAATGTGAAATCTAATTATTTAAAAAACAGATTGTAGTGTTGATTATAGTGGATATTTTGAGTGTTTCTAATGGCCTAATGAATGAATGAATTTAGTTTAGTTTAGTTATTTGACAGGGACTGTGTACATTAATGAATTGTATATGTATACTTTATATATTGTATACTGTAAATGTAGCAGATTCTGTAGTCCCTGGACAGATGTTACATTGTCATCCTAAAAAATACAGGTTAAAGCAATATACAATATGTATTTAGATTTTATATACACAGCCATTAAAATACATGCAACAGACAGACAGACCAGTGACTAAGTTCAATGACTGGTTCTTATTTAACCTTTTGTTTAAAAGGAGTCTTAGAGGGGTCTTAGGGTCTAAAAGGATCTTATAATGTTGCTTCTCTAATGTTAATGAGGATAGAATTACATTGATGTGAGGCTTTGACAGTTGTCCAAATGTGCTCCTGATTGTTGATGATCTTATGGTAATGTGTAAGTGGACATGAAGACAAACCATTTATAACTTTAAACTGAAGACAAAGATTTGTGTACTTAATCATTTTGTCCAGGTTCAGGAGCTTCAGCTTGCGATGATAATGTAATGTTTTTTATTGTTCTTTTGTATAAGGCGGTATATTGGTCTTATAGCAATCTCCCCACTTAAAAAAATTAAGTACATGACTTGATCTTTTCATAAATTTTCATATTTTTCTTTTCTCAATTATATTTAAAGATGGGTATCACTAAGAATTTATCGATACTATTACTATTATTGATACTGTTTATTGATTCAGTCTTTTAACAGTTATCTCATCAGTATTTTTACAGAAAAAATAAATCAATCATAATACTAGAAATAATAATAATAAGGCATAATTTATTTTTCAAATGAAAATAAACCTATTGAAACTTATTTTTACAAATTTAATAGGCTACAATGTACAATTTAGTAAGCTACAATTAGGACATTGTAGTAATGTGGCTAAATAAATGGCCAGTGATATGATGTATTCTCTTGGGGCTTATATATCATGTGGTGCACTGAGGAGCCTACAGTCTGTGTCTGATCAGCTTGATAATACGATGTTACTTGGTGCGGCGCTATGTTAGGTTTGTTTTAATTACAAGTTATTTTTAATAAAACTACTTTAAACCATTGATTTACATTATGAATAATGTAGGTCCTATTACTAAAGCTTGAGGTACTCCTTATATGTCCTTTTACCCCATTTGTGTTGACTTTCAAATAGCTCTGTAGCTAAATCTGGTGTAAAGCATCTCTTATGAGATTCATGTGCTTACACATGGTAAAATAAACAAAACTATTTTTTGTTAATCCTCTTAAGCCGCAGATTCCACCTAATCAGGCCTGTTGACGATCAATAAAATTGCCTATTACAAATGTATTTTTTTCTATACCATTTGAATGTTCCTCCATTAAATCAATTAAAGCGATTTATGCAGACTCACATTGTCAGACGATAACAAGCAAGGTGTAAAATTATTTTTCTAGCACTTTTGGAAATCAGAAAAAACTTAGTTTCAAGTATACAAATAAAATATCAAATATTGCTTTTCATCCTTGCTCAGGACGTGGATTAAAGCCCTGCGCTCTTCCAGGTAACAGCAGACTGTAAAGGGCTGAACTGCTCTGTCGCAGTAGCATTAAAGCTAAAAGACATAAAGAGGAGGAGATCTCAAACACCAGATAAACAACATTCATCCCTCTGATGAACCTTAATCTCCTCCTCATTATGTTAGACACAAATACATAACTTCAGCCTTATCTTGGAATTCTTGTTTTTTGTTTTTTTTGTTTTTGTTTTTTTCTATTTCAGTTGCATATCAGAATCTCTCACACTTCCTCACATTGATTTATGTTTTACTTAAACAATATACTTCAAATTATTCAATATAATTGGATAAATTGTACTCTACTTATTACTGTTTAAAATGTTTAACACTGTGTACTTTGTGTGAGAGTTCCTATTGCTTCAGCCTTAAGCAGCTTTAAAAGCTTTCTGACATACAGTAGACAAGTATGGTAGGTTAGTATGTTTACCTTTAAAATAAATATGTAACACGTTTACTCTGCTCTGTGTGTTTATGTGTGTCAAGGTCAAGGTAATGGTGGATATGTACCTGCTCCACTGACTCCTCAGCAAGGTACACACACTACTCAAATATGTTTTAAGCAATAGGATGGTTGGACATAAGCAGATGGCTGCATTAATCTGTTTTCCTCAATGTTGGAGATTAAGATTTTGAGGATTAATTCAAAGAAAATATGTCTGCTGTTTTCAACAGCTTTGCACTGAATTGTGACATCGGTCAGTCTTTAAAGATAAAATATATGTTTTATAAGTTTCTTTTGATTTTCCAGCTAAAGCCGCAAAGTATGGTGCTCTTCAAGGTTTCCTTGGGGGTGGTGGAGGAGGTGTCTACAGAGGTAAGCTTGATTTAAAAAAAAAAAAATCTTATAAACAATAGTATGTAAACGTTTTACTATGAATTAATATGGATATTGAAACTTGTCCTGCAGGTTCGGCCACAGGGTGCCAGGGAAAATACTGTGGGAGGAGGAAGTAGAGGATCTCTAAAGAATTAGAGTGACCTCAATAACATGGTGCTACTGCATGAATGAGAATGTACATTTTTATATAAAAACAAAACAACCCCATATTAAAATGTAAAGATGTTTTTACTTGACTATGAGGGAGTCCTTGTTCAAACCCACCGACTTAGAATTTTTGCCTACTTCAGTGTTTAGCTGTTGTGCCTTTAGGGACTCTGATGACCCCATCTCTGGGGCTTATCTTTTTGGAGTCTTGCTTTTCTTTATTTATGTGTGTGTGTGGGACCTGTGTTTTACGTCTACAGCTGAAGAGTGAAACTCTCTTGGTGTTTGGAGCTTCCACTTTAGTCCTGGAGCTCTGGACGAAGCACAGTGTCTGTTGTGGCTGATATGTCACACAGTTTATCATAGACTGCCCAAATCTGATGAAGTCCTGCCACTCTCCCATATCTGCAGCTATTTTTAGGCCTGCCTGGTCTAAAGCAGTGGGAAACAAGGTTTGGGCCAACCCATCTGCTCTGAAACTCCACTCATTTGGTTGCTAAGCACTTCATCTTCTTCAGCAATATTCACAACTTGTGCTGTATCAGTAGCACTTGTTATTGTTTCAGTGCTGGAATCAGACATTATTATTCAGTAATAGATTCTGTGCAGAAGTCCTCAGAGTTTTACTCTTCAGTTGGCTGCATTGTGTATGAATGTGGGCTTTCAAACAATATTTTCAGTAGACCTAATTATTTACCCTCATGTAACTTTATATTGTTGTTTCACATTTCTGCATCAAGCTTTGAGTCATAGCTTATCGTTATCAGGAATATGTGAATATAACATCTGTTCTGAATATACTGTAGGCTACAGTATGTATTGCTCATAGAATCATACAGAATTGGCTACTTTATCGCCATGTTTAAAAAGCACATGTTCCCATTGGTTTATTTACTTGATGTGTAATTGAAGAAAGCTTTGCTGACCAAAGGTTAATAAGTGCTGTTGCCAAGTGACAATGTTTCTAAAGATGTGTACTGTATTTTGTACTAATTTGATGTTTGCTGGCTTCAGTTTATTACTGTGCCATGTAAGAACGGACTTTTAGTCAGACTCTGTCTTGTGTGCCGTGGAATACATTTCATCTTTATTTAAAACTGTTTTTTATAAGGAGGAACAGTGTGGTTTTGCACTTTTTTACATCCATGACACACCAGATTGGTAAAATTGTATTTGCTTCAGTGAATAATATATAATAAAACGTGTTTAAATGATGTCTTTTGATTCTTACTTAAATAGGCCTAAATAGGCCCACTGAACTAGGCTACAGTCAGCAGCAGAATAAGTTTAGGCATGTTCAGTAGGATTTGGCTTTCTGGCAGATTATTTAAACTTTTGACCCCTTATTTATTTATTAGGCCCATTTCTGGTTTGGATGTCAGATTATTAGCCTACTACAGCACTTTTACTCCTAGTGTGGTGCAGGGTCTGCCTGTCTCTATGTCCCGCCCCTCGGATGGGACGTGCTGTGGTTGGCCAGCTCCAGGATCCTGGCCCAGGGGGCAGCTCCATTGGCCAGCGGCATCTTGAATCCAGCGCAGCAGAAACGTGCCTCTGGAGCGGCAGGAAGCCCAGTGAAGTGCCGCCTACTCCGAGGCACAGCGACACGGACAGACGGGCTGCGCTGGTGGCAACACCGGATAGCAGTATTCTGCGGACGACAGTCGGCCGAGTGGCTCTTCAGAGCTCAGTGTCAGACCGTGAATGAGGTTAATGCTGCTGTGCTGCACCTGGAAGGACGAACGCATGGGAGAGGAGGAAGGTAAGGAGCTCGGTGTTTACCGCGGCAGGGCGGGAGGTGCGGACGCTGCGAAGAGCATCCCCCTCCAATGAATTTGCAGCTTCCCTTCAAATCATTTATTCTTTAGTAGTGTTAAATAAATGAGAAACAGTAAGAATAATATCACAGCTGCCGTGATATCTCCTTAAATTTATGCTCCTAACATTTCATGCAGTGGACCCCCTGTTACCATGCAGTAAATGCGTGTCCTGAGATGACAGCTCATTGGAAAAGCATTTTGTTGCATAGACTAGTTGACTATAGAAACAAATCCGTTTGCCTGCTCTTGTCTACGAGATAAATTTGTTGCTGAAAAGTAGGCTAATTTCACTTTTCCTGACGCATGGCTCTGATGTGTAATGTAAACATCACTGGACTGAAATATGATTAAGTTAATGTGGATTAAACTGGGTTCTCTTAAGGGAGCGGTGTAGATGGCCACAATTAATCACGTTTTAATAGAAATGTGGATTATTTTTGCATAATAATATGCTTCTACCCTGATATGTTGTCAGTCAGGGTTTTAATAGCCTGTGACGATGATAAGATGACCTGGAAGTACTGTCGATTTTAAAGTGGTTATATGTATATATATATATATATATATATATATATATATATATATATATATATATATATATATATATATATATATATATATATATATATAAAATTAAATAATAGGAAATTGAAGTGAGACATCAGCACAAGAGACACAGGCTATCTTAGATAGTAATAAACAATCACATATAGGCCAATGTAAACTTGTGATTTGAAAATAAGTTGAGTCATGCACACCGAAAAACATATAGCCTGTGTACATAAAATATAACAAACAGTACCATATGATGCATAGCATAGTAGGTACTAGCTACAGTTTTCTGTCGCTACTTTGCATCTTAGTGCAATGACATTTCATTATCTGAGGCCACAGCCATTGCTCTCTGAGGCAAATGTAATAAAGCCACATCCACCTCTACATGTGATCCACAATGTACACACTATATACTTTGTGTGTACAGCTACCAGAACATTGGAGCTGGATCAGATTAATACTGTACCAATCTCAAAAACCAAAAACCAAGTCGACCTGCTGGTAATACCAACTATCCATCCATACAGATGTAATGTAAAATACAATAGAATAAGATATTCCACTTGACTGGAGTCAGTGCTCATTTGCCATCTGTTTACCCTTGTTTTGTTCAGTGTATACTTGATGAAGGCTGCACATTTTTGAGCAGAGATGATTTGCATTTGTGGTGTTCTGAGGACGAACAGCAGCAGTTATAATCACACATTATTGGTTAAGCATCAGTAGCATGTTTGAGTACTGTATGCCCTTTGACCTGTGTAAGGTGTGTTTGTGTGCAGCTGGTGTAAGCCTGCCTGTCTGTGCGGGATGCAAAGAGACCATCTATGATGAGCAGTATCTCCAGGCCCTCAACACAGACTGGCACACTGTCTGCTTCAGGTAAGAACCACTGAGACAAATAACAATTTAGTGAGATTCAGATATTTTACATCACCTACTACACACCTGTTTTCACAGTCACCTGGGCTCTTGTGTTCAGATTTAGCCTACAAGTTTGGGATTTCTGATTTTTAAAAAGAATAATAATAATATTATATCCAAGGTATAATTCACTGTTCAAATTATTGTTAAACCCTGTGTTGCCATTTGTAGGTATTGATGATGAGATTTTCTAAAACTGACAAGTCAATACTTTTAGTGTACTGTACAGTTTTTATTACAATCCATAATTATAGTTTTATTAGATTCATACATTTATTTTTTTATTAAGTAAAAGCCCCTTGAGATGAGTGACCTCTTTTTGAGGGGGATCCTTAATCTGAAAATATTAATTTCCACAATATTCTGAGCTCTAAGCTATAGGCTATATAGTTTGAATAGAATTTTGAATGACCAGTGCTGAATCTTGCCTTGTTAAAGTGAGCTGACTGACAAGGTAGCTAACATTGGAGACTCACCACCACACAGTGTGTCATTAATGATTTCCCCTGGCCGGATGTTTGAATGAGAAATCTGAGCAGGGATCTGGGCTCGTCTAAAATGGTTTGGGTTTGTGGTGTGTGTTTCTATGAGCCTTGTGTTTGTACAATGAAGGTGTTCTCATATAATGTTGTGACATGTAGTTTGTTCACTTTTCCTCTCACTTTGACTATCAGGGTTAATGGGTGTAATATACAGTATTTCAAGGTTTTGTTTAGACTTCGAAGCAAATGTATTTGAAAAAAAGGAAGCAGATTTGTTTAAGGGTTTTAGTGAGATGGAAAAATTGTTTAGATCTTGACATTTGTATGAGAGCATTCCCCAAACCACAGTTTATTGGGTGAATTGTATTGAGTATTGATCCAAGTGTCTCATGTGAGGAACGGTAATGGGCTACTGACATATTATGCAAGGTAATGGTTGTGATATGTTTTTTCAGAAAGCACAGTGTATGTGGGGGACACAGAATTAACTTGATTATTTTAGACAGGTGATATGTATGATGTTGTTTGCAGACACATTTCAGAGTATTCTTCACATAAATTGTTTCCTAGATATGTCCCAGTGAAGCGCTCATATTTTTTCAAATCCACAAGGGGAGTCTGATTGTCATGGAATATCAGGATTTAAGACGGTTTACTAGTCTGACAAGAGCTGAGTGGAAAATTGGCTGGTGACAGTGGAGAACGAGTCTTACATCCAAACAAAACACGAGCTGGAGGAGATGGTGCAGCTGTGAGTTCGGAGCGCGATGGTGCATCACTTTGGAGGAGATGAGAGGAATAGAAAAGAGTCTGCAGTCATTTTTATACTGGTCCTGAGGGTTAAACTAAAGTCACAGAGCTCCATTTTGATGATTTAAGGACTTCAGGATAAAGCAAAGCCAGTGCCAGGGACTGTTGAATCAATATTTTATTTTCTTACATTACATATCCTGACCATTAAAAGTTCGGCTATATTGTTTGCAAGGTTCAGTCCAGTTTGATATTATTCATACTGTACTACTCATGATGTAACATAGACAAGTCTGTACATAGGCTTGGATTAATTTAAATGGGCTTTTAACTTTTCAACAAATACTAAATAGATGCATTTTAGAAAATTAGTGTTACCGTGGTCTGGTATTTTATGTAGCACTGTAGCTGCTGAAATTATATTGAACCTTGTATTGTATACTTTACGGGGTGATTTTGCAGTGTCTAAAAAAACAAAAACAAAACTGAAAGAAATACATTTTACTTTGGCAATGGGATAAACTAGTTGTTGTTTACAAATTCATAGTGGCTCAGCTGTTTGTCTGGCCTGTAACAGCTTCAGGAAATAATGACTCAACAAGGATGTGTCTTTTATCTGTACCCTGAAAGAATATGAATTTACCACATTTTTAAATAGTATTTGGGATTATAAGTACTGTATGTCCTTCTTTTGAACACAACAACAAGGTAATTGTTATATTACCTTATATTTCTAATAGTATTGGATTATAAGTATGTCCTTTTTATAAACACAACAACAAGGTAATTGTTATACCTTATATTTGTGGACTGAAATATTGTAATTTGAATTTATAAAATAAAGTGAGATATATCATTCATAGTCTAGTCATAGTCTAGTTACAGGTACAAAACCATGCTCTCAATGCTGGGAAAAATGTTGCTATGGAGGTTTATACCTTATCATATCATCATCAAATATATTTTCCATATTAAAAGTATTACTGTGATAATGTAGTATAGGATCATCTGAACAGGCAATGCAATAATAATGCAACGTCATGTAATGTAATGAATGATATAGATAGAGAGAGGAAAGGTGAAGCTTGTCTCTATATGAAGGCTCATCTTATTGTCACTGAACAGCTTGTTAAATCAGATCATCCACTCCAGGCACTGAAGAAGAGGGCAAAAATTGGATTAGATTTAACTGAAGGTGGGTAGTGCAGTGGGTGGTGCTGCTAGTCAGACTGTTGGGCGGGACTCAGATAGAGCAGTGTCACTGTGGTGAGGCCTGTCAGAGGAGGATGGACTGAGGTATTGTGGGTGATGGCTCAGACACAGGGGCAGGTCATTCATAGAGCTGCTGACTGTCACAACTGAACCCTCACCCCAGCACAGCCATGTCAGCAAGAGACACTGTCAAGTAAGTGCTCATCAGAATAAAATTGTTTGATTTGGCTTTGATATTGATTCAGGTTCAGTGGTGTTGTTATTAATATGTTTGTATTTCATTACAATAACTTTTAGATTTTAAAGTTTTAAAATCAAATTTGAATTATTAATACATTTTGAAATATTTATATACATTTTAAAATAACAATATTAGTAGTAGTTCTTGTAGTAGTTGTTGTAGTTGTAGTATTAGCAGTTGTAGTAGTAGTAGTAGTTGTAGTTGTTGTAATTGTAGTTGTTGTAATAGTTGTGG